CCTAAACCCTAAACCCTAAACCCTAAACCCTAAACCCTAAACCCTAAACCCTAAACCCAAAGCCCGCCCTCCCAACTCAGCCCTGGTGCAGGGGCCTCGTTCAACCGAAATTCAGACCAAGAAGTCTATCCAGTCCATCCGCTGCTACTGTAGATGGAAGAAATCTTGCACCACTTTTGCAAGGCCCGCCTGTGGCAACCTATTTTTGTCGAGTCAGTCCTAGAAGTGGGTGCAGCCTGAAGCAAGAAGTTCACAGCCGGTGCAAGATTTCCTCCATCCACCGTATCTTTGGAGGGTTTAGGGTTGATTTGGTTCTCTTTGTTTGGTTGTTCGTTTCTTCATTTTTTATTCTCTCTCTCTCTCTCTCGCTCCTTATCTTTATGTTTGGGGGGGGGGGGGGGTAATCGGTTCTCTTGTGTTGGTCTTGTTTCTCCTACTATTTTTTGGGGGGGAGGGATCGGTTCTCTTGATTGTTTGTTTCTTCTGTCATTTTTTTCTTGCCAAAGTGGGGGGGGGGGGGGGGGGGGCTCGGGGGTGGGGAGGGGGTGCCCAAAGACCCCTAAGTCCTAAGTCCCCACAAGAAAATTAGGTGTCAGCACCAGGACGCCCATTGGTGAGAACAAAGAAGCCTTCACAGCTGGTCCTCAAATGCTAGACACGAGATCCGAATCCGTGCACCCATAAGCCCTAAACCCTAAACCCTACAGTAAACCCTAAACCCTAAACCCTAAACCCTAAACCCTTCCCACTCCCCTCCCCCCTCCCCCACTCCCCTCCCTCGTCCCCCCACCTTGCCTCAGCAAGCTCGGTGCTGGTCCTGGTTGGACTCTTTGAATACTCTGCCGAAACATGTCTCCATTTGGGTTCAAAGGTGTAGGGGCTTAGGTTTTGGGGTCTTGTCTTTGGCTCTTGAGATGCTTGGGGTTCACGGTGTAGGGATTTAGGCTTTAAGGATTTAGGGTTCATCTGGACCCGTAAATGTAGTACTCCAATGAAAGGAACTACAATTGAGGGTCCAGCTAGAGGTTTAGGGTTTGGGGTTCTGGGGTGTAGACAAGACAGACCAGGACCCTATGCGTTTGGGGTTTACGTGGTTAGAAGGAGAGCCAGCACTCCTCTCAGTTCTACATTCTGCAAGCCCTAGAAACTGGATCATAAGTACCAGAACTTAGGTGGGGTTTAGGGTTTAGGGTTTAAGCTTTAGGGTTTAGGGCTTAGGATTTAGGGTTTAGGAGGTAGAATATCCTTTCGGATATCCTTACATAGGATCCTCGGAATGCAAACATTCCTTCGCAAGATCCTTCAGCCCGAGAAGGAGGGTTCGGGGCCAGGGTTAAGTCACAATCTCCTTAGAGGAAGGGGGGTGCCCAAGGCAAACCCTTAAGCTCTCAAACCCTAATGTCTAAACCCTAAACCCTCAATCCTAGTCCTCTCCAATACCCTCTAAGATTCCCTAAACCTTCCCTAAGGTTCCCGAAACGCTAAACCCTAAACCCTAAACCCGAAACCCTAAACCCTAAACCCTACTCCCTCCAGGGCCCTCTAGCTAGGGGTGGATCAGCTCATGGAGCCTTGGTCTCACATGGATGTGCGAAGGGCAGACGAACCCTACAGGGTTTAGGGTTTAGGGTTTAGGGTTTAGGGTTTAGGGTTTAGGGTTTAGGGATCTCAAATGGCGAAGCTATTGTGAACATCGATGCCGATGGGGGTTTTGTCGCAGGGGCTACACAGGTCAATAGCCTGCAGATACCAGACCCTGCACTCTTGCAAACCTACACGTAAGCTTTATGAGCCCTATGTGCCCTCAACGAGACCCCTCAGGGAAAAAAGCCCTGGAAAGGTCCTCTGCGTCTTGCCGTTCACGAACAAGTACACTGTCTGCTCGCTCGACAACTGGCAAGGCAGTGAAATGAAACCATGCACTCCGCCTGAATTATTTCCTAAACCCGAAACACTAACCCCTAAATCCCCTTTGGGGTTTAGGGTGTTTTACATATAAATGAATTAGGGAATTGCATGCCCTGTATCCCGATGTGCAGCTCTTCAAGGGGATTTTACATGGTACCAAATTCCCAAAATTCCTTACTTTCTGCACTTCATACTTTTAGTTCAGGAGGAAGCAAACAGGATGGACCCCTTGACAGGCCCTTTCAAGGGTCGATTGTGGGGATTATCAAGCCTAATAATGTTGGACCCTCTTTAGTAGGGGCCTCCTCTTTAAAGTCAATTTGGCCGAATTATTCAGGACCCCCTGACTGTTTATGGGGTCCTCTTTAAAGTCAAACCGTCGGGGTGCCGTAAGAAAATTCCACGTGGCGCGCCTTTAAAAGAGATAACCGGGCATCGCTGCCCCTTTTAAACCTATCTAAACTCCTCCCTATTGAAATCAGATAAGCCCCCGGGGCCGTGTAATCAGGCTCCCCCCTAAACCCTAAACCCCAAACCCTAAACCATCCACGCCTCGACTGTTCAGGTCAGGGGGGGGGGGCCTACACAGTAAAGAGGGTCCAACATTAGTCCATCCTGGAAGAAAGGGTGTATAGGGTTTAGGGTTCAAGGGCGGTGGCGGAGAGGATTCTGAGAATCTTCGCAAGAGGTCTGTAGGATCATTTCCTGAATGCAACTGCTTGTTCAGAGCCTCATCTGGCTCTTTTTGCTCCTGTGATCACTCTCAACCCGAAACCCCAACCCCAACCCTAAACCCTAAACCCTAAACCCTAAACCCTAAACCCTAAACCCTAAACATCCCTAAACCCTATACCCTAAAACCCCTTGACCCAGGCCATGGGCTTCAGGGCTTGCGGGGCTGAGGATTCGAGGACACCACCTGATAAGAGGTAGGGGCTGCCTGTCTGAACTCCTGACGCGCCGAAGCTGCCCTAAACCCTAAACCCTAAACCCTGAACCCTAAACCCTGAACCACAGACATGCTGGCTGAATTGGTTTGCTCTTGGGGTTGAGGTTATGGGCTCTCAGGTGCTCTCAGGTTCAGGGAGCTCAGAAGTTGATAGAACACTGCTGTAAAGCTTCCGAAATTTGTGTGTATACATCCAGTAGCCTAAAAAAGCAACTTGAACTAGAAAAGGTAACAGAGCTACACGCCTCAATATGTATGTTTGAATACAGCAACATAACATATACGACAATGTAGAACTAACCTGGGAAAATACTCCACAGTATAGTAGAGCATACTCTAAAGTATGTTAGGGCTTCAAGCCGTAAGCGCAAGGTCTGCCAAAGCTGTGCTGAGGCATCTGCTTTCGTCGCCCCAGACTCTTTCGCCGCCTGGAAAAAAAAGGGTGTAGTGCAGGCTTTGGGGTTTGGGGGGGGGGGGGGGGGGGGGGGGGGGGGGGGGGGTGGTTAAGGGTGCAGGGTGTCCAGGGGCTTCTCTTAAACTACAGCTTAGTCGTAAGTACCTCGTATTAAAAGGTACAACCCACAAAGCTGTAGGTGAAAAGAGTCCCAGGTAGGGTTTGGGGTTAGGTTAGGCCTGTAGGCTTTCCGGACTAGAGCTTCTAATGCAGCCGCAGCCGAAACAGATGTGAAGCTTGGGATGTTCACCTTATACTAGCAGTCCATAATGTGGATTAGAATAGGGGTACTACAATCCCTGTTAAGAACTGTTTGTATAAGGGGGAACATCCCAAGGTGAAGCATTTGATGCCCTCATCGCCAAACCCTATACAGAAAACCTCTAACCCTAAAGGTCCACGCACCTAAGTATTCTATACTTGGACCCCAAATTCCCTATATAGGAAGTACTTCAAGGCTCGAGTACTCGCTATTTAGGTACATGGACCCTTGGGGAAACGAACCATACCTAGAGGGGCGTTGTTCTCTCTCTGGCCAGCGGCTGAAATTAACGTTGTTTCATTCCTAATCTCCAATGGTTACATAGAGCAAGCTCTGTCGTCATTCAGCATAAACTTGCTCAGCTAAAACACACTAAACCCGAACACCCAGCACTAAGCCTTCTGAATCACTTCTGAATTCTCTTGGCTCAGGTTTGCATGCCTTCGCCCAGCTTCATGCGTCTTCGTCCGGCTTCGCATGGCTTTTCTCATTCTCCATTGTTCCTACAAACGGGCTTCGACCGCAATCCCAAATCCAACGCCATCAAACCGAACATCCGACTCTCGCATCGCCCTCAACGTTGAGGGTTTAGGGTTTGAGGTGGCACGTGCGGCATGGCCACGAGGTACATTGAGAGAGCAACCCTGAACCCTAAAGCCTCTTACCCTGAAGCCTGAACTCCAAATACCCACGTCCCTAAACCTTTGAACCCCAGCCCTGGATGCCCATAACTCTGAACACTTAAGGCCATCCCATGAACCCTGAATCTTGCACTCCGAGGTTTAGGGCTTAGGGGGTTTAGGGTTTAGGGCTTAGGGCTTAGGGTTTAGAGAACACTTAAGGCCATCTAGCTGGAATCCCGAAAACCACTCCAGGCATATCGAAGTGTTGCCGTGGCTCTTTCGGCTTTCGGGGCCTCGAAGAGGTGCTTGTGAACGACCTGAAGGCAAATCGATCAGGGTTTAGGGTTTAGGGTTTAGGGTTTAGGGTTATGGGTTATCTAGCGAGAGCCCTGGTTTTGGGTTTAGAGGGTTTAGGGTTTAGAGTTTAGGGGTGTAGGGTTAAGACCCTAGACGCGAAAAATACGTAACACATCCAACAAGTACAGCACATCGAGCACATCAAACATAGCTACCAAATCCAACCGCTCCAAGACATGTGGGAAACATATTGAACCCTGGCGAATCAAAAAAAAGTGCAGCGCAACCAACATGTCTAGCAGAACCGAGTACGTTTAATCAATAGAACACAGCTGATAAAGATGCAGCACATGAAACACACCCTAAAAATCCCAAACAGCTTTGGCATTTCAAACAAATCCGGCAGTATCCCTGCATACGACACATACAGACAGATATACATATGTGTGTATATATATATACACACGTACATACACATTTTCATACCCTGAGGATGCATCGATTGGCTCAGACAACTGCCTCGTCTATAGAATCATCGGCGCTATCATCAGCGTTGTTGCTGACTATCACTTTGCCCTTGCCACCGGTCTTCACAACGTTCAGCACACCTCTGACGATGTTCTCGGTGAAGATGGTCTTCGAAGCTCTCTCCCCCACTTCCACGTGAGCAGGACGGTTAAAACCGCCGGTAAACCTTACTTCTCCAACAACCAAGGGGAAAACAAGTTAAACCTTAATATTCCTACAAAACAAGGAAACCCAAAAACATAAAGTTCAACCAAAGGCGAAGTAAGAAACTCACTTGTGGTCACAATCAAAGTTCCGCCCTGCTGGTCGATGGCGGCAGTGCCGTTGTGCGTGTAGGACTTCCCGTCTGACGACCTAGGATGGCCCGTAAGACCCTCGGAAAAAAAACCCTAAACCCTAAACCCTAAACCCTAAACCCTAAACCCTAAACCCTAAACCCTAAACCCTCCTAAACCCCATAAAAAGGGTTTCGGGCTTGGGGTTTAGGCTTTAGGGTTTAGGAGGGGAAGTATAAAAATATCCCCAAGGGCCTACCGAGTGACAGATGGTTGTCCCAGGCATCGAAGTGGCACTGGCTAAAAGTAACGGTGCCAGCGCCGGCTGTTTGAGCGACCTGTACCTCTACTGAACTTGGAATCCTAGGAAAAAATCTAGCTTCAGCTGCTTCTTAGGAATTACAGTGCCCCAAAAAACACTTAAAAAAATGGTTCCCAGGAGTCCCTAAGGTACAGCAGGACCCCAAAAAGCGCTGTTCACAAACTTGACCGCTCCTACATTGGCAGGCCCCACGACGACATGCCGCGGGGACGCATCGCGCCTCTGGCAGAAGCCACCGTTGTCGCAAAAGGCCGTGAACTCCCCGTTTGTTATCAAAATCCTTGGTGCAAGGAGGGGCTTTCTAGTTACAAGTAGAAACATGAAAAGCCCTATATGGGTTACAAGGCTCGTAACTTATAGCTAGGTTAGAAGTCCCTGAACTACAGTTGGTGTATGAAGGGTGGCCCTCTTCTTTGTAGCCCAAGCAAACACAAGGGTACCCTTTTGGGGTTTGGTTGCTTGAAAAAGGAACCTTGAACCAACAAAAAAGGGGAACCCTAAACCCTAAACCCTAAACGCTAAACCCTAAACCCTAAACGCTAAGCCCTAAGCCCTAAGCCCTAAGCCCTAAACCCTAAACCCTAACCCTGCCAGGAATCCCATAGGCCTGGCTCTGGTCAACCTGGACGCTTGCGTTGGTGGCAAGATCCATACCGATTCCCAAGAAGTTGCCGTTCATGCTTCCTTTGGCCCTTTCAATGAAATGATACCCAATGGCATACCCAAATGCGAATGTGTTGAACACATACCAGTCAGAACGACCCATGACAAAGGCTCGGCCAAAAGTTGTCTGGTAGCCCACGAAAGGCTGACTGCTTGAGAACCATGGGTTGAAATGGATGTCTTCCAGACGACCGATGTCATATGTCTCATCCACAAACACGCCGATGTTGATGGGCTGCCCTTGCCTATATTGAACTTGGAACCCTAGGAAAGAATAAAAATCAAGCTATTTCTTAGGAATTCATAGCACCCAAAAATGGAAAATTGTTCCCAAGTATCCCTAAGTTGCAAGCGCGCCACATAATGGCGGTGAGCGCCCACCGCAGCCAGTCCATTCCAGGAGCCCAGTAGCTCGACGTCAGTCACCGCAGCATTGTTTCCATTCCTTGGTTTTGGGTTTTGGGTTTAGGGTTTAGGGTTTAGGGTTTAGGGTTTAGGGTTTAGGGTTTAGGGTTTAGGGTTGGTAGCCTAGAAACCATAATTTCATGAGGGCACCCTTTTGGGGGTTGGCTGCCTTATAATTAAGGGAACCTTGAACCAAAAAATGGGGGAAAAGGGTACCAGTGGGCTACCAAGATTCATGAAGATGGTCCACGGGTATGAGACAGGCAAGGCTTGGCGCTCTTGTTCCTTGTAGACAATGGTGAACCCCTGAAGCACGCCGTTCGCCTGCACGGCAATGAAAGCATCTGTGCAATCGATGTCGCAAGGCACACCCCGCCCGCCAGTTGGGATCAATACCGAGCCGTCGTTAAATGTTAGGTTCGCCCAGCGTCCGCTTCGACAATCATGTGATGGGACTACCTGGTAGGAACCCTTTAATGCGACGCCTCCGGGAATTGTCAGGTTGCCCTTCAAGAGGTACTCAGCAGGTGGGGCGTAGACATGGCCGCCGCCAGCGTCGCTTGCTGCTTTCAAAGCTTTCGCGAACGCTTCGGTGTCATCAGTTGCACCATCACCTTTGGCACCAAACGCAAGCACGTTGAAGTGGCCTCCAGGGGCCGAAGATTCCTGGGCGGCAGGGGCATGCTGGTTCACGCCCGGCATGGTGCGCATTGCCGTGGGCAAGACGTGACCTATGCTGGTGAATGAGGCCATCCCCATCGGGCGGTCTTGAAGTTCGTGCCGGAAGCGGTGGGCGCCGTCGACAGCTGGGACGACATTCGACAAGAGCAGAAGCACCGACAGCCAGAAGAGCTCAGGAAGGCTCCGCATAGCCATCTTTGCAACAGCCCTAAACCCTAAACCCTAAACAATAAACTCAAAACCCTAAAGGAGCATAGCCATCTTTGCAACAGCAAAGCAGTACACAGCGCACTTGAGCCAAGCTTTTGCTTTGACACCATCTACACCATGGTGCCCATGGTAAGAAGCAGTTTCCCCGATGTGCAAGGGTTTAGGGTTTAGGGTTTAAGGTGTCTTGCTGCTGTGAGCTTTGTAAAACTCACGCTAACATGTCTTGTGCGGCTAGATACCGCCGCGTCTTCGAAAATAGGCTTCCTATAAATGTTACTCAAAGGTGTTGACAGAGACCGCGGCACATGGAACGCCAATGCAACTAGAAACGGATTTTCTGAAGAGCAAGACAGCAAGACATGCTACAGTAAATACCAGTCACATTACGCTCAATGAATAGATTCTTGCAAAAGGTTTTCAGAGGCTAAGCCCCCCGCCCCCGCCGCCAAAACCCAAGATTATTCGGAAGCTGTACATCGTGAGAGTTGGATATGTTCAGCATAGGAAGAACAAACGGAGCTAAAGTAGTAGGGAAGTGGGTTGTCGATGGCAAGGATTTAAGATATCTAGCTTCGCTGTGTCCTGGAGGGGTCTAGGATTCGTGGTTAGGTTTTAGGGCGCTTCACAAGCATTCGCGACACCAAGTCTAGCCACAGCTGCGGGCTTTTACGGGCCCACAGCAACATGTTCCCCCATAAGCCCCAGAACACTCAGCTTTACCCCTAAACCCTAAACCCTAAACCCTAAACCCTAAACCCTAAACCCTAAACCCTAACAGCCCCAAGGGCCGGGCATACTGAAACTCGCCAATAGCCATCCCCCCTGGCACAAGGAACTTCTTCTGCAGCGACGGCAGCGAGGACCTCAAGGCACTCCATGAGGTCGGAATAGGGTTTAGGGTTTAGGGTTTAGGGTTTAGGGTTTAGGGTTTAGGGTTTAGGGTTTAGGGTTTTTGAGGGCGGCTGTAGGGTTCAGAGTTTGGGGCTCAGGGGTCTTGGGTTTCGGCTGTGGAGCTCAAGGGTTTAGGCTGCAAGGTCTCGGCGCATGGCTTTGAAATGCTCCTAAGGGCAGCGGAGGTGGGGGGGCCCAAGGCTCGGGGTGCCCTAAACCCTAAACCCTAAACCCTAAACCCTAAACCCTAAACCCTAAACCCTGAACCCTGCTCATGAACCCTGAACCCTGAACCCTATAATCCCTAAACCCTAAACCCGAGAAGCCCCAAAAACCATAAACCCCTGATGTAACAAAAGATGAGGTAGACCTAGTGATCCCTAAACCCAAAACCCAGAACCCTAAACCCTAAACCCCTGATTCCACCGAAGACTCCCGAAGCTTCTCCAAAGGTTCCCAACAAAAGGCCCCAAACCCTAAGCCCTGCATGGTTTAGGGTTTAGGGTTTAGGGTTTAGGGTTTGGGGTTTAGGGTTTAGGGTTTAGGGGGGGCTTGCAATAAGGGTCCCTTTTGAGGTTGTTATTAAATTATGTGGCCGCCCCCCCCCCCCCCCCCCCTAGCATTTAGGGTTGATATAGGGTTTAGTTAGGGGTACCCGAAAAGGGACCACGGTTCTGAGAAACGACCAAACCCTGGAAACCTTAACTCTTATAAACCCTTGACCACTTCAGGCCCTAGACGTGCTGGACCTTAGACCCTTAAACCCTACAGACGCTTACACCCCGCCTCCCTTATAGAACTCAGCAATATGTCTTGTACCCGCCCCTACAAGAAGCCCCAGACCCGACCACAAATCTCCAGCAGCTTATAGTTTGGGGTTAAGCGTGTTTACAAGTTGGGTCATTGTTGGTGTTTAGGCTTTTTGTTTGGCGTTCAGGGTTTAGGGCTCAGGGTTTGGGATTTGGGGCCAGGGCTATTTGTTTGCGGGGTAGGGTTCGGGATTTGGGGTTTGGGGGTTTAACAATTAAGGTAGTTACATGGCCCCTTACTATGGGCCCCCCCGGAACCCTTGAAAAAAGGTAAGGAGCCATATTAAGGGACCATGCCCCCTAAACCCTAAACCCTAAACCCAAAACCCTAACTACCCTAAGAAAAGCCTCATGCCTTAGAACAAAAGCCTAGCCCCCTCCACCCTCCCACAAAAACGCATCCCAGAGCCGAAGCCCTAAACCCTATACCCTAAACCCTAAACCCGGGTTTAGGGTTTAGGGTTTAGGGTTTAGGGTTCTACCCTAAACCCTATACCCTAAACCCTAAACCCTCCCCCCAATGAAAAATCATGACACGGCCGCGGTGCCGCTGCGCTTTCTGGCAGATGACCGGCACACGGTCGGGATACTTCTTGAGGACCGCCGAGGCGTCCTTCTCCAGTCTTAAAGAGGCTGCAGCGGCAGCCCTAAACCCTAAACCCTAAACCCTAAACCCTATGCCCCTAAACCCTTAACCCTATACCTTGAACCCTAACCCGTGCGCTGTAGTTGTGGTGGTTTGGTTTCGGGGTTTTGGGGTTTGGGGTTTTGGGTTACTAAGGTTCAGGGCTCCAGGGTTTTACGGGCTTGAGGCTTAGGGTTTTTGGGTTTAGGACTTTGGGGGCTTAGGGTTTGGGGGTTGTAGGGTATGGGGCTCTAGGGTTCAGAGCTTTAGGACTTCGGTTGCAAGGTTTAGGCTTTTAGGTTGTTCGAGGGCATAGGGTATTTTCGATTTTTGTTGAGGGTTTGCTAGGGGGTTTGAACTACCCTAAACCCTAAACCCTAAACCCCAAACCCTAAACCCTAAACCCTAAACCCTAAACCCTAAACCCTAAACCTTGAGAGTTTGAGAAGTTTTGGGCTTAGGGTTTGAGGCTGGGACATCCCCCGCGTGGGCATTATGTTGGGACTTGCTCCTCCAGCCTAAAGGCTTGGGAGTGCCAAATGTCCCGAGACCCTCTAGGGTTTAGGGTTTAGGGTTTACGGTTTACGGTTCCCTAAACCCCCTCAGCCCTAAACCCTAAACCCCAAAACCGCAAACCCCGAAACCCGCAGCCCCCTCTGAATATGGGGTTTACGAAACTAGGGAGACCCCTAACATAGACCCCAAATAATAGGATCCCCTTATCATCAGAGAGGGCTTAGCGTTTGCCCTAAACCCTACACCCTAAACCCTAACCCCAGGGCTCCAAGTATACAAATAATACCTACGTTGGGGTCTAAAGTCTGTAAACAATACCTACTTTGGGCGTTTTGGAGCCTAAGGGTAAACCCTAAACCCTAAACCCTAAACCCTAAACCCCAAACCCTAAGGGGATTAGGGTTGAGGGTTTAGGAAACCCACGTAAATGTCCGACCTGCAGATTCAGAGCTTCGCCCATGCCCATGAAGGTAGGCGACTCGCCCCGGAAAGGAAACCCTAAAGTCAGTTTAAGGTTAGGGTTCAGGGTTTTGGTTTAGGGTTTAGAGTTTAGGCATTGAGGGTTGAGGGTTGATGGTTGAGGAAGTACCATGAAGAACACTCGACCAGAACTCTTCTATTCCAAATGTCAGAAAATCTTCGTGTTCTGCTTCAAAATTGGCAATAGGAAGCAACGGTGTCCCAGCACTTTCTCTGAGGATGATTGGCAGCGTCGCAACCTCTTAACCCACAAGATGTCAGTTTTTTGGGTTCGGTTTAGGGGTTTAGGGTGTAGGGGATAAGGCTAGTGATTTACATGCACTTGTACACGCAACATGCAACTACTTTGCCGTGCTCCAGCTAAGGAACCATTTAGAAGCATGGCCCCTTCGTCTGTGCCTCTCCCTGAACCCTGAAACCGCAAACCCTTACACCAACACTCAACCCCTACAAGCCCGAAACCACTCAATCATACTCAATCCTTCAAAACCCCTAAACCCCAGTCCCTAAACCCGTAAACCCTGGACCCGAAACCCTAACCCGAAACCCGAAACCCCTAGACCCTCAACCCCTCAACCCTACAAACCTCGACCCACCATCTGCGCGGGCGAAGCGGCTGTCTCTGGTATTGTCAAGTTATCTTTTGGGTTTAGGGTTTAGGGGTGCAAGTGTGGGGGTTTCGGGGTTTTGGGGTTTAGGGGTTCAGGGGTCAGGGGTTTACAACCTGTTTAGGGCTTAGGGGTTTAGGGTTTCGGGCTTGGGGTTCGGATGAAGCGGCACAGCTCAAAGCTCAGGGCACCATGCGGTGGGCAGTGACCCTTACGTACATAAACCCCTCAACAATCGACCCCTCCCCTTTTTTGTCCTTCCCCCCCCCCCCCCCCCCGAGTCGCCAAACCCGAAGGAATCCCCGCAACCCTAAACCCTGAACCCTAAACCCTAAACCCTAAACCCCACCACACTTTTGAAGATCGCGTTGCAAGCCACGGAGCGGGCATGCGAGCTTCGCACGCCTGCGGCCCTAACCCTACGGACTTTAGCGCTCAGTGCCTTTACGGGTCTCCTAGACATGAGGGTTTAGGGTTTAGGGTTTAGGGTTCAGGGTTCAGGGTTTAGGGCTTAGGGTTTAGGGGTTTGATGCGCGCCATGGGGACCAAAAGAACCCTAGACACGGGCATCATCTACCCTATACGACTAGAATCCTTATTAGGGTCTGTGAACCATAAACACCGTTAAGGGCTTAGGGGTTGGGGTTCGTTTGGTCCTTAAGATATACATGAGTGGTTCAAAAAAGGGCCCTAAGGTGGGCTTTCCATCCTGGATTTTGTCGCCCGACAGTCTAAGTGCTGTACCTTCAGTACCTCATACAAGCAGTCTTCGAAGATAGAGTTACTCTAGCCATTGGCAACCCTAAACCCTACACCCTACACCCTAAACCCTAAACCCGAAACCCTAAACCCTTACTCTACTGACATCGAGAAGGAGGGGCCCCCCTCCGCCCCAATCTTGCAAGAACTCCTAGATTTTGGCTGCCCAAGGAGTCTCAGCTGATGCCCGTGTCATACCTGAAGCACGCTAAGCCCTAAACCCTGAACCCTTAACCCCAAACCCCAAACCCCAAACCCTAAACCCTAAACCCTAAACCGACCCGTAAAGGCCACTAG